GGCCAGTGTAGACGCTCTTTTCCGGCTTTTCTAAAAGCCGGAAAAAGGCGGACATTTTTATTTAAATGCCGCGGGGGATATTTAAATCCCCCGCGGATTTCCCTATTGCGATCGCTGAAATTAACATGCCCCTTCCGGAAAAGGGGCCAGTGTAGACGTAGCCCAGATGTTCTGTGCAGAAGTCTCACGAGTCACTATTGAGCCTCAGCCCCTTCGCGTGAGACTGGGAGATTCCATAGCTTTACTCAGATACAAGGTGGGTTATTTGATTGGACCAGCCTCCGTGGATCAACAAAGCTCTATCCTCGGTAGTGGTTGGAAAGTGTGTAGCGCTCTCAAATAAGTTGGTCCATTCAAACATATTACCTCACAGCATGTCCCTTTACTAGCCTGGATTTTCACACAGCTACTACGACTCTGTGTATAGTTCTTGTTTGAGTTTGGCCAGGCCGCTCTTGCTATAGTGGGCTGCAGTACTCCTTGAGAGAAACCGGCCGCACCCTTCCTGCATACCATTGCCTTTAGAAAAAGGAAAGGTGTGAAAAGGGAAAAATAGCCTCAGACTCTCCCACCCATCACCTTGGCGTGAGAACTGTGGGGCTTACCTGGTCGCATGAAACCTGCACAGTTTTGGCCCAACCCCTGGGACACAGACCCCTCACTTGGTGACCATTGGGCCATATATGGTAATATACAAGCACGGGAAAGCGATGTGCAGATTTGGGGATAAATACCCATCGCACAGTTCCCTCGAGGAGGTCTTCGCAACACACGTACTACCATGCGTGTGCCTTCTCGTATACTTCAAAGTGCTGCCGGCCTGATCAACCGACCAGCCACCTCCCCCGACTCTCGGGCATAACCAAGGTCTCCGCAACCAAACCGATATCTGTGAAATGTTCCATGTGCTGTGTAAGTTGGTATGTATGATCTGATTTTTTTCTTGTTGTATAAACTTAGTGTAGTTGTTTTGGGTAGTACATAGAGTTTGTAGTTATCACTGTTATTTAATTAGGTTAGCTGGATATTTTAAGATTAGAGATTATTCCCCTTGCCGTTCCCATCCTTATATCTTTGACACATTTAATTAGAAATCATAGAATAAAAAATACTGTAAATTCCTTATTAATACGGTCTATTAAAAATCTTAGAATAAATACTATAAATTCATCACTGTCATAAATATTTTTTATTCGATAAAACTGTCCGCCTGGTTCTGTCCTTTCCCCCTTGGGTATGCATCATCGGACCTGTGATTCTCGGGACAGTTCTCTCTATTCAGTGAGAGCTGGGAAGAGTGCAAGTCAGGCAGGCCTATTGACTGACATGTGCCAGCTGGCAGAGCCTGTGTGTTGTCCTTGACCTTTCTATTTTTTCTTTGCCATAATGAAACAGCTCTCAGCACAAGCCTGTGCATCAAGAACCAGTATTTCACTTCTTCACCAGATCCACAGTTAGCTGGATATTCTCTTCTTACTAATAGCCTTGTCTTCTAGTCAGTTCCAGTGCAGTTTTATAGATTTTTACACCATTGTGTTATTACTACAGTGTCTGCTATAAGTGGAAGATAGTATGAATCTGGTTCTAAACACTGCTTTTGCCCCACCTCCTCCCAACTACCTGTTCTTTCTTTTGACACAGTAATATTTGTTTTTTCTTCATTTTGGTGCATTTGGTTAATGCTAGTGTCATCAGGGGTTTTTCTTCTTGTTTGCAGTTTTTGTGTGACAGCATTATCTTTGGGGCTCTGACAAAAGTTGTTAGGCAGTTACCCAATAAATCTAGTTCTATTCAGTACTTGTATCACAGCCAAGGAGGTTTGTTTTGTGTATCGGCCCAGAAATGCCAGTACCAGCGTTCCCTACTCTGATGTCCAAAAAGTGAAGGAGACAACTGGTATCTTAAAACACTTTTAATATTAAAACCAGTGTTGCAAACTATATGGTCCTGATTAGGGATGTGAAGGACTAGTTGACTCTGATAGGCAAATGCTTATCAAATAGTCAACTAGTTGCTTCTCCTGCTTGCCGCCTCTATCAGAAAGAGGCAGCAAGGGTGGAGGAGGAGGTGGTATTTGAAGCCTGGTCTCCACGTGGCGCTGCCGCTTTGAAATGCCATATGCAGTCCAGGGCCAGCTGGGTATCCCCAGGATGCACGCAGCCTTTCAAAGCAGCAGCGCCCTGTTAATCCCAGGATCATTGGGGACTCCCTCACTGTCCGCAGGTTTAGTGCAGCGCTGCTGCTTTGAAACACCATGGGGAGCCTGGTGATAGGCGCCTCACAGCATTTCAAAGCAGCAGCACTGCACGAAGCCTGGGGTCACAGGGGTGTCCCCAGGTGATCCTGGGCTCCACATGGCCCTTTCACCTTTGAAGTTTAGCTACACTTGAAAGGCGGAGGTGCCCTATCAACTAATCAAATAGTCGATGCAGAATGTATCGACTATTTGATCAGTCAATATTTAACATCCTTAGTCCTGATAATGCTGATGAAAATCAAATTGCAATCATTTCAGTTGTGATTTTTTTTAAATGTGGAAAAATCATATTTCTGGGGCAGTTACTTTTGCTTACAGAGCTGACTGATCCACCTTACACCAGATTTTACAAGGTTCTATGAAGATTCCTCTCCAATATCTGTTGGAATTCAACCTTAGGATATAGTCCTATTAACATTACCCTTATCTACAGAGAAACCTGTATACTATGAATGTAAAAAAAGATAATTGGCATTATATTTGGAGACTACTAAAGCTCTCAGAAGGCCTATCCACTTTTTTCTTTTTGACACAAATTCATCAGGCAATATTTTTACTGGGATGATAACTGACTTCATGCCTGCAGTCTGCAACTAGAAGGCTATGTCAAAACATAACTTTGAGACATAATAGTCCCTCAGCTGTTTCTCTCAAAAATCATCTACCAACTGGTCTTCAAAAGAGTGTTTTCAAAATGTCCTTCTGAGTATTTGGCACTTCACACATAGTGTGTTCTTCCTCACAACACAGATGGGAGGGGAGATAGGAAAGGAATATTATTCACCTTCAAGAGTGGGCAATTGAGGCTAGACCTTGGTCCTCACCGATACACGTTTCACATCCAATGATTTCCATGATATTTAGGTGCCTAAATATTGAGGATCTGGTCCCAGATCTCTCCGTGCTTCAGTTCTCCATTTGCAAAGTGGGCCTAAATGAAGTCTGGGCCCAAGCAAGTTTTTAACTTGGGATTCCTGAGTTTCAATGCTGTGCACTTCTCATTGGCACTCTTTGCTTAGATTTTACCCTCAGAGGTGGGGCTTTCAAACACTGTTTTAGCGGTATGGGTGCCAGGTTTTCACCCAGACAGTCTTATTTCTGGCCAGTCCAGTAAAAAAAAAACCTAGAAAATACCAGACATGTAAAATGTCCAGTATTTTCAGTTTTTCTTGGACAGAAGGCCAGCAGACATTATTCCCCTGCTGCGTCTGGTGTGGGGAAGTAAGGAGCATGGGGGAGTCTTAAAGATACTGCAGCCTTTTTTTTTTACTCAACTTTTATCTCCTGGGTTTGTTTGTTTTTTGCTCAACCAAGTTTTTTTTCCTTGCCATGTTCAGGATTTTGGGTGATAGCATCTGGCAAGCCTATTTAGAGCTCTATTCTAAAGTGAAGTAAGTCAAACTCATCTATCGCTTGTTTTCTTTCAGCATGTTTCTTATTAACCAATTGTTTGCTTTTTATTAAAAAAATATTTCATTGTGTTCGATAGTGCATTTGTGTTCTTATTCCGCTTAATATTGTTACTACAAATATAGAACAAACTCCCCTTTTCCACTAGCAAGTCACTCCCTCCCTATACTTCCCTGTAGCTTTACTCTTTTGGAACATCCTTTCTACTTATTTTAGAGACTCTTGCTGTGGTGTTTTTAGAGAAAAATATTTCACCTACAATAATTCTTCTGATTATGCAATTTTGCACCTTCTCTCTCTTTCTTATAGCAGCCCCATGCACTCTGTTCTTTATTTTTCTCACTGGGGAATTAGTTTCCTACTGAAATGGTGCAGTTATCAGAACAGTGTCTTTACTATTATTTCTAGCTGCTTTTTACCCTTATTGCAGTTTCTGCAACACTATTCCCCCATATACAAGGCCTTTTTAATAACCCCAATTAATTGCTTAGCAATTGAATACCATATTAAAAACAGAGGATTAAACAAATACTTAAAGTTATTCTTTAAACAGACTTTTTAATCTTTATTGTCATTTAGGCCTTATTTTCTGGTTAAAGATGCCAACTATCACAATCTCAAATTTTTTAAACAAGTTATTAAAAAGCAAGCTGTCTGTAATATTAAAAGTAAGCATAAATAAAAATAAAACAATTACATTTTCCAAGGATTTCCAGATACAACTAGAGGATCGTGGTGTAACAAGGTCAATTGTGAGGGGACAATCTGATGTAGCATTTTTGCAATGACCAGTAGAACAAAATTGAAGAGAGGAGGAAAGTAAAGATTTATACTTTTTTTTAATTCCGTCATAATGAAAGCAGCAGGACTGAGCAATCTTTTGAAGAAAGAAATGAAAAAGTCCTCATAATGCATTATCTAATAAGTGATTAAAACATTTACCAGGAAATTCTTAAATTTTTTCTTTATTCAACAATGGTTTAAGTGTATGAAATTTGGAATTACCTAAAATGCCTATCAAAGGAATCACTATCAGACTTCTAGATTAGTAGGTATGATAGTGAATGGACAAAGTCTAGATTACTTAAGGCAAGATGACAGCTAAATCAGGGACTGAATTACAACTAATACCACTGAGAAAACCTCTATAAAGAATGTCTTCATGACACATTCACGGTTAAGAATAAAATCTAATGCTGCAGTCAGTTCATCCTTGACTGTTAATTTGGTTTCTATGCTCATCCTGGAAATCTTGCATTATGGTGGAAAGTTATTCCTTTTTGTATGGTGTATATTCAAATATTGCCAATTTTAAGTACAGTATATACAGTTTCCAACTACCCTTGATATTTTAGTAAAGTAGAAGACAAAGAATAGTTCTCTAACATGCAAGTCAAGCTTCCAAATTTCACATCTAAGCACAAGACATTAAGAACTATTTAAACCATTTGTTCTGGTACTAACAAAAATACAAGAGAAACAAATAATTTTGGGAAAGAATGTTACTAAGAAGCCTTTGCCACCTCTATTGATACTATATAAAACAAATGAATGGTGAATACTGTAGCTTCCCTAACAGTAATATCCCATTTCAAGTACAGTGGAATTGCTATTTTTCTCACTATTAAAGACTTATATTGAATATTTTAAAGATGGTATATTCTACAGTGTACAGCCTCAGTGCTTCTCCTCTCAAAAGGAAATTGTCTTTTTTTCTCTAATACATACATTTCACAAGTCACCATTTTGTGCTGCTGTTCCTTATTCTGGGCAATGGTGAATCCGGAGAGTTTTAAACAAGTATGAACGAATAAAAAAATCCAGTGGTAGAAGAGAGCATGCATGTGTTCTAAACATTCCAGTTAGATGTTTACTACAGTAAATGGCATTTTTCCTTGGCTAAGAGAAAGCATTGGAGTTTAACTTGCATTCAAAGGTTTTGTTTTCTGTGGTGGCAAATTTCCCAGTCAATCCAGTTTTGCTTAATGCAGAAAGGTCAAAGCAATAGGGTAACCAAGCATTTTTGACAGTGATTTAGTATCCTAAGAAAAAGTGATCTGTGATTTGAAATTTAAATGTTATTTTTCATTTAAAAACAAAATCTGCTTTCCAAAAATTATGGATTTTCTACATGCATTGTGAAGTAGACGGAAAGGACACAGTTAATTAAAAAGTTAGCATCACGTGAAAAATACTAGTCCTAAATATTGTTAGACGTAAATGAGGGAAGATTCCTCACTGTGACATTCTGATATTGAAAGCATTCATTTATATGAATTTATATGAAGTGTCTAATGTCCAAACATCTGAGATTTTTTTGTCAAAAGAGAATTGCTTGTCTGTGTTTAGTGTAGGATTTCAGCAAAGTTGAATCCCACACACTTTAAAGAGAAGATTACATAAACTGGGCTGCAGCTAACAAGTCTCAGAATTAATATTAGATGCATGGCCTTTTGTCTATAATTCACATGCGTAACTTAATATTTGATCTTTTAATTTTAGAGAAGCACTTTCAAAGATATGCAAGATTTAAATAACAGCCAAGACAAATAGTAGAAAATGCATTTTATTTATATGGAAAAAGCTACTGTAAGATTTGTAAAAGGTCTGAGAATATTATGTAGCCAATATTGGGGAGGGGAGAGGGAAATCAGTCGTAAATAGCAACAAACAAAACAGTTACATGTCTTTCTACATAGCAGTGCAATTAGTTCACAATGCAATAAAATTAAGTCAAGTATGCAACAGAATAAAAAAACCAAGTGTTTCCTCCATAATCAGCATACTAAGAATTACAGTGCAAAGATCATTTTAGGTTTTAAGAAATCTGCAATCACTCTGTATAAGAGCCCATAGGGAGCAACACCGCATTAATTTCATTATCAGCAGTTGTATCATATCAATACTGTGCTTGAGAAAAAAAACCAGTCTAAATGAATTGATTTCCATGGTAAATAAAATATATTTAGTCTATACAGTAAAAAAATACAAATTATATAACAATTAAATTTTGAACAGACCTATGAAATTGACAATGTATTTTAAAGACACATACAGTATTTCTCAAGTAAAACATCTAGTTTTTCAGCAAAAAATGATTTGGTTGCTTTACAACTGCATTATGGATCTTGTAGGCTGAAGATGCAGAAGTCCAAGAGTCTTAAAAACCATAATAAATGTCTTTTGCAAAGCATACAAAAAGGATAAATACTCTCATCACAGCTTTAAGATTATTTTTGGAAGTTTGTTTTTTCTTGCTCCAGAAACACACTTACATGGGTAAAAATTAAAAGGGCTTCATGGTACAATGAAACAGTAAACTGTGCTTCATTTACTTCTAATTTTGAAAAAACCTAGAATTTACAGTACTCTGTGGTATATATGAAAAAGTCTTCACAAGTTTACATTGCATATTTCTGAGTCCATTCTCTTGCATGTCTGTTGTATCTGTATGAGCAGAAAAAAGATGTTTCAATAAAGACAGGTTTATTTTCCACAACACCTATATAAGTACTCATATATGTTATGTTACTAGCTCCCCATCTTTTGGAATTGATTATAATCTTGTGAAATCAAAGAACTGTTTCACATAGTAATTTTTTTCAGGAAACAAAATACATACTTCATATGTATAAAAGTTCTCATTGCATAAGATCAAAACCTAGGAAATTTTTAATTCTCCTTCTGGTTGTCAGTGTCACAAATGCCATAGTCTACATAAACAGCTGAATTTTGACACTCAAAAGGGAAGTAATGCTTCTATGAAAGTATAATTTGACTGGATTTCAACTTTTGAGTCTTTTCCTTCCTTCATGAGACTGACCAGAATTCCCAAAGTTAGGAGTTTTGGGACAGCCAACTCTTCACTCCTGGAAGCAGAACATGGTATATTAAACCCCTTACTGTAGGCTCAAAAGCCTCTTGCGCACCCACCTGTTAAGTTCCTTCTTCAAATAAAAGCAAGTGGAAGAAAGAACTTTTGCAAATCTATATAATTCTAATTACTTCCTTTTAAGATGCCAATATATGTAATTTGTGCACTAACTGTAGCAGTCTCCGTAATCTGCAAAACACGTCCTAATGGGATATAAATCCTTGGACTCAGAGATAATATTAGTAGAAGTCAGTGTATAGACTAACCAAAGTTTAGTCATCCCATAACTGTCACATCCCACATCTATGGGGAGATACCATCTCATACTGATTGAAGTGAGGATTTAAGAGCTCAAAGAAAGATTCTTCATAAACTAAGATATTCTCCAAGAAACTGTATGGGAATTTCCACACCATTTTAAGAAAGGTGAAGACATTTCACCCCTCACACCCTCCCCCCAAAAAAACAGGAGGAAGAAATATTGAACAAACAAGCAAAGGGTGAGCCATGGTTTTTTTCACCTTAAAAAACTATGGGTTTTGTATTAAAAGGCAGACATACATACAAGTTCAACTATTGTGGTTGGTGCTTGCAAAATGGGTCCGACGATTTGATGACACTAATCGTAACTGGCAAGAAAAACCTCTCAAAAGTCTGCAAAAATATCCACTCCATGGACAAAGACTATTTCAGCAGAGGAATATCCTTTAACAAGACCATATCTCCATCTAACATAAGCAGAGAGACACCCCCCCCAACACAAATTGACACACACAATTCAGTATTCAAATTGCAAACAATCCTCAATTATCTGTGCCTCATGAGGAAGAACCTGAATAGATGAGTATTAAAAAAACTAACCTGATTCTATCTGTAATACATAGATGACAGTCTATTAAACATATCCGGTAAGTACCTTTATTCTTAGTGCTAGTATTTTAATGGGTATTTTGTTAAATTATTGCACCAAGCACACACCAGCTTTTTCACATGTTAAAAGCAGTTTGAGATCTCTTCTAGATATTCCATAAGGACTCAGATCCTGGAACAATGATTGTAGCTGATTAAGATAATAAAGAACAGACTCCGAGGTTACCAACAATTAGAATAAACTTTAAGGCTTTGTCTATAGTGCAGGGTTTTTGTGCAAGAAGCTTTTCGCCAAAACTTCTTGCGCAAAAGCACATTCACGCCTCAAAAGAACACCGCAAAAGCACACTGCATGGACACTCTTGCGCAAGAAAGTTCTGATGCCATTCACAGACTGGCAATCAGAGCACCTGTGCTTTTTCTGATAGGCTCCTTTTGCGCAAGAAACCCCTGTTGAGTGTCCACACACATCTTTTTGCACAAGAACTCTTGCGCAAAAAGGAGTTATTCCTCATAGAAAAAGATATACCTACACTGCAAAAAGCCCTCTGTTCTGCCGTTTTACTGTAAATTTTCTTGTGCAAAAATGTGCTTGAGGTGTGGACGCTCCGCGGGTTTTTGCGCAAAAACCCTGTAGTGTAGACATAGCCTAGGAATGAAATACTGCTTCATTGAAGTCAAAGGCAATGCTCCCAATGATTTGAATAGGCCTAGGATTTCAGCAACAATCATAGGTAAGAAACATGCATCCCAAAACACATTCACCAACCACCTAATGGTGCCTACCATCTACTTGTCCCAGGAATTTATAGAATTTGGAAGGATGTAAGATGATCACTAAGAATGAGACTGAGTCTGTCTTCACTGATATTATTTATTGTGTTTTCAGGTCCACTAAGATGCTCTATGTGATTCAGATATTACAGGTACTAAAATACTGTTGCAGAAAACAAATTAGGGCATATGTTGCAATGGAGTTTCAATGTGTCTGTTTTAGCAAACCAACCACATCTGGATTTCTCTTGGACTATCCAGATCAAGAAACCGTACGTCCCAAACAATTTCTAGAAATAAAGCTCAATCCACCACCTACTTTGAGCACACTGGTGTGGAAAACTGGTGTACCTCCAAGTTACTCTGTTATCCCGCCAATTGTTCATGAAAGTAGTCAAGCATTCCACCATTTCAAATGACTGTAGAATCCTCAGATTGTGATTATAAATACCAATTGAGCCATATGCCTTCTAAACAAGTAAAATGTTTAGAAACAGGAGTGAGAAGGAATATGCAGGTATTCCTGTTCCATTGGAAATGAACAGCTTTACTCACCGAGGAGACTGTCTAAAGTACAAGTGCTTTGAGCTAGATGCCCCTCCCTCTGAACTACCACCACTTGGAACACAGTAAGAGCAATGGCTCTGCCAAGAGTGGTGATAGTAGCTCTTCTAGCTTTTCTCACAGCGCTAATGTCAAACACCAGGGGAAAACTCCAGAGATTCAAAGATACTGGCAATCCAAATTTTCTTCAGGGCATATTCTGGAAATTCTAAAGCCTGGTCTACAATATGCTGAGGGCCCAGAGCCTCTAGACACACACCTGTGAAGTGCCCCTTTCCTCCCTCAGCATGCAAAGGTATCAGTTTCCTGAGATCCACTCTCTAGGGCAGTGATTTTTCACACTTGGGTCATGACAGCACTGGGTCTCATTGTTGCAGGGTGATTAGGTAACCAGTGATAGAAATGTACCCGTGTTAGTCTGGTGTAGCTGAAACAAAAAACAGGACTATGTAGCACTTTAAAGACTAACAAGATGGTTTATTAGGTGATGAGCTTTCCTGGGCCAGGACCACTTCCTCAGATCAAATAGTGGAAGAAAATTGTCACAACCATATATACACCAAAGGATACAATCAAAAAAATTAATACATATGAAAAGGACAAATCAAATTTCAGAACAGAAGGGGAATGGGGGGGGAGAGGAGTAAATGTCTCTGAACTAATGATATTAGAGGTGATAACTGGGGAAGCTATCTTTGTAATGGGTAAAATAATTAATATCTGTTTAGACCAAGGAGTAAAGTGTCAAATTTTAAGCATGAATGTGTGTTGTAAGCAAAACTCGTGAAGTCATTCTGCCGCTCTACTCTGCACTAGTTAGGCCTCAGCTGGAGTACTGTGTCCAGTTCTGGGCACCACATTTCAAGAAAGATGTGGAGAAATTGGAAAGGGTACAGAGAAGAGCGACAAGAATGATTAAAGGTTTAGAGAACATGACCTATGAAGCCAGGCTTCATGAACTGGGCTTGTTTAGTTTGGAAAAAAGAAGATTAAGGGGGACATGATAGCCAGCCTGCAACTGCCTGAAGGGGGGTTCCAAAAAGGAGAGAGAGAGGCTGTTCTTAGCTTGGACATTAGGAAAAAATTCCTAACTGTCAGGGTGGTCAAATATTGGAATAAATTGCCAAGGGAGGTGGTGGAATCTCCCTCTCTGGAGATATTTAAGAACAGGTTAGATAGACATCTGTCAGGGATGGTGTAGACGGAGCTTGATCCTGCCTTGAGGGCGGGGGGCTGGACTCGATGACCTCTCGAGGTCCCTTCCAGTCCTATTATTCTATGATTCTATGAATGACAGTTCAGAGACACTTCAAGACAGACCCAAGAAAACCAACAATAGAACACCACTTGTCATCACCTACAGCCCCCAACTTAAACCTGTCCAAAACATTGTCAATAAACTACAACCTATACTGGAACAGGATACTAAACTCCGAGAGGCTCTGGGAGACAGACCCATAGTCTCCTATAGACAACCACCTAACCTCAAGATGATTCTTACCAACAACCACAGGATATAATATACTACACTAATACAAACCCTGGAACTTTCCCTTGCAACAAACCCCGTTGCCAGCTTTGTCCACATATTCACTCTGCTGATACCATTATTGGACCTAACCAATTGAGTTATAAGATCAAGAACACATATTCCTGCTCATCCAGAAATATAATTTATGCAATCATGTGCCTAAAGTGTTCTCTGCTATGTACATTGGACAAACGTCTCAGACACTTCGCCAAAGAATCAATGCCCACAAAACAGATATTAGACAGGATCACAAAGAAAAAACAGATTCTTGCCATTTCAACCAGAAAGGGCATTCTCTCAATGACTTAATACCTGCATCCTGCTTCAAAGACCTTTTCACACCAGACTTGAAAGAGAATCCTCTGAACTGTCATTCATGCTTAAATTTGACACTTTATGCCTCTGTCTAAACAAAGACATTAATTATCTTACCCATTACAAAGATAGTTTCCCCAATTATCACTTCTAATATCATTAGCTCACAGACATTTACCTCCCCCCCCCATTCCGCTTCTGTTCTGAAATTTGAGTTGTCCTTATCATATGTATTAATTTTTTTGATTGTATCCTTTGGTATATATGGTCATGCCAATTTTCTTCCACTATTTGATCTGAGGAAGTGGGTCTGGCCCAGGAAAGCTCATCACCTAATAAACCACCATCTTGTTAGTCTTTAAAGTGCTACATGGTCCTATTAGGTGACCAATGAGGGTGCTACAGCAGGCTGCCTGTCTGTCCTGGCACCGCAGATTGCTGTGCCCTAGAAATGGCCAGCAGTAGGCTGGGGCTCCTAGGTTGGGTGAGGGAAGAGAGCATGCACAGGGCTCCACACAC